AGCTCCCTTTTAATTTTAAGCTGACACGTATGCTTGCCATATTTGTAGATTATGGTATATTGGCTGATATACCATAATGGCTAAGCCAATAAAAAGTCTTGAATTGCATTATCAATGATCTAGTTTTTAATAATACCTAATATCCCATAATGGTGCAGTTTATCAAGTAGGATAGTGCGGATTGATAGTATCAAACGCTTTTTTTAAAATCGAGAAAAATACCACATGTGAACATTTTCTTGTCCATATTCGTTTGTACTGTATTCACTATGTCCAAAGTTGCATGCTGAGTGGAAAATTTCTCTCTGAAGCCATACTGGGCTTCAAATGATAGTTCATTATATTCCATGTATGATTTCAATCGGTTGTACATAATTTTTTCAAAGATTTTATTGAAGACGGAGAGTGGTGAAATAGGACGGTAGTTGCTGGGGTCGGTCTCATCGTCGCCCTTGTATCTGGCCTCAGTGCAGACAAGTGGTATCAGCTCCGCTCTTTCACCCACCTTTTTTTTTTGTTATTTTTTAGTTGTATATTTTTTATGGCTGGAATGATTGGTGCGGTAATATCTAGGGTTTTCTGAATTGCAGTGACTATCATTGGAACATCTTCAGTTTCTTTCCCAAACTTGCCGAACCTAACACACCGACAGTATGAGAGCAAACCTAACTACATTTTTCCTGATAATTTTTTCAGGTGAACACAGTTTCATGGATGGTATCATAAGTAAAGTTAGGGATGTGCATTTACCTGGGTCAATGTAATTGCGACAGAGGAATGAGAACCGGTCTGGACTTTAAACCCAGAATGATAATTTACAAAGGTGTACTGATCATGCACAATAATTGCTAAACCACTTGAAGGTGTACTAAAGGTGGACTCATTCGTTTGAACGTCTAGAGAAATGCTGAAACCAAGATCAGCTGAACCTTCATATAAAGAACGAAACAGCTTACTCTTCTTATTCCCGTTTTAACCAGAATTGAACGTGTAACAGATACCGCTATTTGTGACGATCGGAATGAAGTGTTCTTCGGAGCCTTGTGCTTGTTCCTCGCCGTTAAAACAAAACAGTAGGCAAAGGGTCCACTCATGCTTTGATTGCCAAAGAGGTCATGTCCATACTTAGCAAGGAATTCTTCTTCGTCAAAGATGCGCTTCGTATGATGAACTGAAGAACACTCATTATTCTCTGCCTGGTTGAAGAAATACAGTTGTCCACCAGAAGGAGGCCAAAGTCACGAATTGCACACAATAAAGCATGGCCACATGTCAGATTACCACAGACACTTCTTGTAACGCTGCATCCGCTGATGTTTAATCCCAATCTTTCAAAATTTTCGTTCCCGTCAGTCGCGTCTATCTTTAAATTGCAGATTATCACTGCATCACTTCAGGCCATCCCGAGGCGTTTCTTGTGTAATTTCGGTTTTATTGGCCTGGAAAATATTTTTTAAAGCTTCTGATCGCATAGCGCCTGAGGCCGCTAAGAGAAAGAGCGCCCACACTATTCACCTAAACTAGGAAGTCTTGGTTGGACGACATATCGTAGCCCATGGACGGTTGTGTCTGCGGCGAATTCTCTCCATTTGGAGAAAATTGAGGGCTTTGACTTTACCAGTTCCTTTAAGGATGCAGTGGTAGGTTCCATCGACCTCAGTGGATGATTATGTCGAGGAAAGCTAGTTAGGTGGTCGTTGGAACCTGGGAGAATGAATAAAAAGTTTCTAATTGTTATTTTTGTTACTAAGGATGCCATAAATTCTCGATTCGTTTGACTGCTTTCCTCTTCCCTCGTAGAATGCTACATTGTTTACATTAATATTATTGCTGAGTCTAATCTCCTAATGCTATATTTCGACAACATATTTATTCGAATTAAAACAGCTCCTCGAGGATTCTTATTTCAATCCCTTACGATGTTCGGTGGATTACGTGTCCATTCCGACAGCAGTTTATTGTGAACCCTGACAAACTCTGGCAACGCCAAAGGGCTCGTATTTTACAGCTCTATATGCGGGTAACTACTTTTCATCGCATATCTAAGTCAAGTTTAGTATTTGTTATTATTTGGGTAAGTGAACTAGGTTTGCTACATTCAAATTTGCAAAAATAAAACGAGAGGAAAGGATTTAGATTTTCCTGGATCTGACATCTTAAATAAAAAGAAAAATAATAGCCACCTTATTCGTATCTTCGCGATTGTAAAAAAACTCGCCAAATTAAAGGCCTGCGAATAAAAATCCTCGCGAAATTAAATACCCATGTAAAAAAATTTAAATCACAGAAAAAAAATTATTAACAAGTAATAACAACAACACATACAGAATATATATCGACAAATATATAAACTGTTAACTGGTCTTTCTGGTACGTATGAATAAGGTAGTGATATTAAAACAGAAAATATCAAATTCAGTTTGGAAGTGTACTGATTTGTCAAAGAGTTTATCTGTATTGAGTTTCCGCCTTTGACTGGAACTCTACCTAAGACCGATTTTAATGAATGCTCAATCGGAATTAAACACCACTATTGCAATGTTGGATTATAATTGGATCAGGCTGTCAGAGGAATGCTTCAAACATTTTTATTAACCATTTTGTACCCACCTTGCGTAAGTTGCCGGTCATGATGAACTTTCATCGTTAAATATGCTTTGTTCAGTCCGTCGAAGTTTTGAACTATATTTCACAGCGTGCACTAGACTTCTCTGTTTGCCAGGATATCATTTGGCATACGCATGCTTTGGCGAACTATGCCCAGAGCGACAACAGGTTAATGAATTGAGACTTTCATGAAAGTTTCATACTGTTTATGTTTAAAACAGTACTTTGCCAGTATCGCTTGCATTCGATTTTGGTTTTGATCTAGTTCTTAAATGGATCAGGTTTAACCTTCTATCCCTAGGTACTGTATTACCAATTGCCTCCGTTCCACATAGTTCTGTCCGTTTTCTAACCAAGTCATTTTCTTTTAAAATTGTTATGCCAAATTAAATCATATGAAAAAAATACGGGCGGAAATTGCAACAATAATTTTAATTACAAGTTCTCTAGTGAATCGGTTCCCAAAATCTATTCTGCCTCAGCAGCGAAAAGTTTATTTTCAAGCAAGAATTTTATTACTTTTGGACTCAACAATTCTCTGCGGGGGGTTCCTGCTGCGAATTACAGTTGAAATTTAAATAGATGAAGTTGCCTTTTACTGTTGCTCACCCTTTCAATTAAATTTAGATGGGGTTTAAAAACGGAGAGATATCTTAAACATCAGTAAGGCGGCTTAGCTTCCCTCATTAAGTCAAATACGTCAGGGTTTCGGTTATAAATCTCGGTGTGTGCTTGGTTTAAAAAAAAGCATATAGATGTACAAGGTTGATGTATCTTCTTTCATCAACTGTACCTGCATTACAAGTGGGTGTTCTAATAACCGCTTACAAACAATCTTCAGAAAATAAGTTCACTTTGTCACTTGGCACATACTATGTTTCGACAGGGGTGTAATCTTAGTATATATACCACAGGTGAATAGTACTTTTCGCGCGCGCTGATTGGCTAGTCCATAAGTGAATAGAAAGTAAGATTCACCTCCGAGCAGCCGAGGAACTGAAGAGCTTGAGACCATTTTTCAATATACTGACAGAAATAAAATAATTTTCGTTTTCTGCGTGGTATATATACTAAAACTATTATTCACCTCAGTCTCGGTAAATACTCGTGGATATTTACATATCCAATTCGTAACTTGGTAAATATCCAACATTAGTCACTGTCGCTTCGGTGACTAGCTGTTAATTACTATAGCATGACTCAAAACTCTATAATTCTCGAATTAGGTTGGATACGAGCTGGCGAACCGCCTGATGTTAAGCACTAGTAGGACAGGGTACCCATTATGCTTCGAATGAAACAGTATCATAGGACAGTCAAATCATCGCGCCTATGACGCTCCAGCTATTGTTGACGTTGTTTTCATTTTTTGCGTTTTAGTTGGAATGTCAATAGACAATCTTATCCATACGATTACAATGAGTTATAGTATGTCAATGATACAAAAAGTAGGGTACAGAAGTTTTCTAAAGGGAATAAATTCTTAGAAGAAAGAACAAATAGTACAAAACCTGTGGAGACCTTTATTCGAAGAGAGTTCAATCACAGAAAGTAAATAGAGTCATCAAGAATTCGAAATAATTAACAAAGTTTTTAATAACATTATGACTTGTCCTCTTTCTTAGGATCAAATCTTTTCTACAGTAAAAGTCGAAAAGCAGGCTTCCTAACCTTTGTATAGCGGCTAAATGCTCCACCGAGAAGTTTAAGCGGAGCGGAGTTGTTTGCCAATATTATAATCATCTTAGTGACATGTAACCTATCCATAAATCTCCCAGCAGATTGAAATAAGGATAGGAAAATCTCTCTTTCACTTAAGGCACCGCTTTATTGTAAGAAGACTTAATCTTTTAGTTGCTCTCTCCTTCACGGGAGTTAAACTTGCTCGCCATTCAAGATTGACGTGCCCTTGCTACCGCAAACGTGTAAAATCCAAGAAAGAAACCCTGCTCTATATTCTGCTCGGGTGATTAAGAAATTTGGACCTTCTGACTTATTATGATATAGCCTGCAAGAGTTGCCACACGTCAGGTTAGGATGGAGCACTTACTTTTAAAATAGTCGTCACAGAATATTCTTTTCTTTCTTTTTCTAGTAGCGACGAAAGTGAAAGCAAATACAATGTCTCTGATAAGTTGAATGATTTAGGCAAAATTGAGTTCAGCGTCATTTGAATTATCATTAAATTAGTTTAGTGATAATTTAAATTTAAATTAGTTTAGTCCTAAACATATCTGTGAACGGATTTACAAGCAAAGTTTTTTCTCACGTAATTTGCAATCAGGGGGTAGATTTAAGCCTTTCTTTACATTTTCACATTGTGGGAGTCCGCAATGGAGACTGGTGGATGATTAAAACTCTTCCAATTACACGCTGTGCATTGATAAACAACCTACGTTTGTTTGGAACAAAGGTGAAGTAACAAGGACATGTAGAACTCATTTGAATTAAAATTAATTAATTTTCGTTTTCCTTTTATCAATTACTATACGCGCATAACTTACTGCGCAGAGCCTTCAGAAGATTAATTTGTTAAAAGAACACCGCTAAAAGGGGGTTTCCTTCAATTATTTGACAAATCCAAACAATCGCTTTCCAAAGACGAGGTATGTAATTTACACAGTTTATTTTCACCACTGAGTATTATTATCCTCTCTCTTGTGAATTGCCAAATGTTGAAAAAACTAATTAGCCTTAATACAATTCTTTTTGGTATCTTTGGCACAGGAATATGACACATGCATGCCAAATTCATGTCTTCCTCAGTATTGTTTGCAGTTGTGCATTCAGTCACGTTTTTGTTAAGACTCGGTCCTATTTGACGTGAGAATCCTAAAATACTAGCCTTAAGCTCTTTTAAAGGAGTAGAGAAATATTACTGAATTACTTCAGATGTAACACGGAAAAGGCAAAATAAATTTCAGAACTGTTATTAACTTGAAGGTATGGTCATGTGCTGTCAAATTATGACAACATAAGGAAAATGTTTTTGCATATTTGCTCCGGTAAAGTAATGGTTTCCACAAGAAGCTTTTATCGTAATTTTATCTGAACAAAACTCTTCGTATTATTATGTTTCAGTTTTCGTTTGCAGGGGTGACTTAATGCCTTCGTGTGCAATGCCAGTTACTATGGCTACCAGTGTAAAATCGATAGGCAACTCTTCTACCAATACCTGTAACGAACGTCACGAAAAATCACCCGATACCTCTAAATGGAGAATATTTGCCTCCAATACTACTCTTCATGGACTGCGACACATCGTTAGAAACGAATCGTCTTTTTTCAAAAGGTTTATTTGGTTTTTGTTTTTGTGCACTGCCGCTGGGACATATTGTTATCTTTCGACCATCAGTGTCACGAAATACTTCTCCCGACCCCTCAAAACTGTAATTTCGCAAGAAACCCCAAACAACGGCTTGAAGTTCCCAGCTGTGACAATCTGCAATTTAAATATTTTCATGAAATCGAAGATAGATACAGCGGATGAGGATGAAAACTTTGTAAAACTGGGATTAAATATAACTGGGTGCAGTGATAATGAATTTCGAAGTGCGCGCGGAAATCTCACTTGTGGGCAAGCGTTGCTGTGTGCCTACGAATGGTATGGGTCTGCTATTGTGAGAGGCTGCAACAAATCCGTTCGCCAGAATATCGTCAATGCTTTAAACCGCTCCTCAGAACGTATTTATAACGAAGAGGAGTTCCTCGCCAGATATGGCCATAATATAACCGGTATGTTTTTACTTTATTGTCGTTTTATGAAAACAACCGAATGTTCAGACGAGGATTTTATTCCAAGGCTTACCGAAAGTGGAATTTGTTATACATTCAATTCTGGACAGAAAAGCCCCGCTCTCAGAGCAATATTTGAAGGTCCCGATTTCGGGCTAAATATCCTCCTCGATGTTCAAACAAATGAGAGTACCGTGGCTGATTTTTCACACGGACTTAAAGTGATTGTACACGATCAAGATACGTTTGTAAACCGTCACATTGGATTTAACATTCCCCCCGGATTCCATGCTACGGTGGCTGTCAAACTGAGAAAGGTAAAAGCTGTCTGCGGATCATGATTGTATCGATCCATTTATTGCTGAAATTTGGACAAGATATCACGTTTTTCTTTTATGTACATATATTTAGGAATGTTTAGTAATTTGAGCTTTTTTTGTATTCGTTTGCGTGTTCTTTTTTCTTCCACAATGGCTAATACTTAAGTTGGGATAAAATTTAGTGCAGAAGCCATGTCTTAGCAAGCGATCGGGAGAGAAAACAGCCCAAAAATGAAGTAGAAAAGATAAATAAATGAATAAATAAACAGTTGGGTAAACAAATTAACTAATATTCTTGAGGATCAATGATAATACCTGCAAAGACAGAGGAAGTCGCTCACTCTTTGTTGTATTCCGGTAGAATTCTTTGACTACTTTGTACTAGGCACCAACGAGCCTTTTCCAGCCATCTGTGCTTTTCTGTTACCTAAATAAGTTACTAATGGTAAACATGCTTGCTAACGAAATAATCGCTTTCCCATGATTACTATGTTTTCAGCATATCAGATTGCCAAAACCATACAAGACAAACTGTCAGCAGGCAAACTTGCCTGGGATTGGTACCTACACAAAGGATGGCTGCATAACGCAATGCTTGGCAAACGCAACGTTAGCTAGATGTGGGTGTCGCATTATTGGGTTACAAGGTTTGCGTCGATATCTCTTTCTTACTTGACGTTTTCCATTGTCACTTTACACTTCTTTTCCCGTGATATCAAAAACAAGCAAAAAAGAAGCGAAACAACACAAACAAAAACAATTATATTTAGCTCAGCCTGCATTCTCGTTTTGTAATAAAACGGGAGGATTGGATAGAAAAGCGACAAGTTTACGTTCGACTTGCTCAATAGAGTTCCCTGTAAAGGAGCTGCACTATATTATTAAATCATTTCGAATGGACATTTCTAATTTTTGTGTCCACTTCAGATCAGAGCGATGCACCTTTGTGTTCCATGCAAGATGCTAATTGTGTTTACCAATCTGAAATTGACGTAGGTAGGTGAGATACGAAAAACTGAAAGACTTCTACGATGTAAGGAAAAATGTCTACTAGAGCCTAAAGGCACTCCCAGTCGGAGCTTATTCACCCCGGTTTAGATAACTCGAAGCGACTATAGTACTTACAACTCTCCCTCGCATAGAATACCAGTCCATCACAAGGTTACCCCCTGCGTTGCATAAAGCTTCCTTGGCAATTCCCAGTTGCCTGTTTATAACCCCGAGTGGAGAGACTTATCCAAGAACACAACACATTGGCCCGCCCAGCAGCTGGTCTCTAACCTTAACCTCTCACCTAGTGTTCAGTGCACTGATCATTAGGCCACTGCGACTCTTCGTTATAAAGTAAAACCAATTACAGTGAATCTCTATGCTTCGAATGCAAAGTTTCTGAACACAATAGCAGTTTGTGTGATATCTATTTTTAATTTTTAGGAGAAGTCAACTTGTCGGCGTGCTCCTGCAGCAACGCATGTACAGAACTGGAATACGAGACACGTGTTTCCTATTCCAAATTTCCTGATAACTCGATAATTGATATCTTGCATCATACCTTTGGGAAAAAAGAGAGTTCCAGTTACATGAGGTAAAAATAAGATAAAGTTAACTAAAATAAGCAGGTAAAATAAGGAATTATCATCAGTCTCTGCTTCACAATGGAAAATACAATGGTAAGTGACTCGAAAGCGGGTAGTTAAAATGAGCGAGTGTGCCTGAAATAGACGGTATTACATGTACATATCCGCACGGTAACATAAATTTAACCTTAAGCGTTGATGATATCTGTCACAAGTAAGCAAAGTGACGTCATTTACACGAGACAGTATTTATCCCGGCACATGCAGACATGTTCTGCTTTTCACATAGATATTGATTTATTATAATTCTCACTGTACAGAGATAACTACGTCTTTCTTCAAGTCGGTTTCCAGCATTTGGCCTATGAAAAGCGAGAGGATGTTCCTAGTTATAAATTGGAGAGTCTTTTAGGTAAGTCAGCTATAACAATGCTACATGCATGTGTAGAGTTGGAATGGTTGGGAAAATTGATACATGAAAATTGCTTTGAGCACAAGATGGATATTCTTCTTTTAGATATATCTTGGCCGACGCAGCGTACTGCACTCTGATACGATCCAACTATAATTGATCATACTATAAAAAAGTTCTAAACTCATAACAACTCGCATGAAATCTCAATTTCTTTGACATTGACGTATTGTGCCACCTTCTACTCATTATAGTAGAAGGTGGCACAATACGCTCTATCAATTGAGCTAACCGCCTCCCGGTTAGCTCAATGGATAGAGCGCTGGACTGTTGTGCGGGAGGTCGAGGGTTCGAGCCCCGGCCGGACCAACACTCAGGGTCTTAAAATAATTGAGAAGAATATGCTAACTTTCTATAACATCAAGAAATGGTTAGATATTCTAGTCTTCTCGGATAGGGACGAATAAATGGAGGTCCCGTCTCCTGCAGGGTTAGGGGCTGGAGACGTTAATTTCCCACGCACGAGATTACTGTGTAATGGATGTCCTCCCCTGGGCTGGGATGGGTGGTTAACAGGACCCCCGTTGATACCAGTGCTTACTACACTGAAGGGGCTATCCTGTATAAATATAGATGTCTACTCTACTCTATACCAAATTGAGCATAACAATTCTCTTCTATGACCTGTTACAGGTGAGTTTGGTGGCAACATGGGATTGTTCCTTGGGTGCAGCTTATTGACTCTTTGCGAGTTCCTCGACTTCGTATGGGCTGCTGTATTGTCCCGGATGAGAAGACGTTCTGTAGAAATATCATCTACCGAGTATTAGCACCATGTCATAAACGACGTCGACATATAAATTCTACATTCTACATAGAGGATTGAATTATCGTCCAGCGAAAGTAGGAATAGCAAAAAATTGTATTTGATTGTTTAAGATAGATTTCTAAACGTGCTGCGCCAGCTGACAGTGAGAGACGAAAGTGGGAAGCGATTGTAGTCACTGAAAAAGTAGTCAAGGATGATAAAGAACACGTCACGTTTTATGTCAGTTTAGTGTTTGAGTAAAACAACTCCGTTCGCCTCAGTATCCCTGTCTTCCTGGTTTTGCTTTAGTCTTCTTTGCTTTTTAGTCTTCTTGCTTTTAGCTTTAGACTTTTGCTTTGAGTCTTCCCTGGCTTTGCTTTACCGCGCTGATGTCCCACATTACAACACAGTAAGTAGTTCCTGCAGTTTTGGTATCAGCAGCAACAGGTATCACCTTGTGATGGTTGTTTCCATAGACTACTGCAAATTTATGTGAAGATCTAGAAACTTAACTCTTGTCCCAAAATATAGAGTTTCTGCAGTTCTTCTGAAAGTCCAATAAACTTTTCCAATCTACTTTTGATGTGGAAAAAACAAAAGAATCTGCTTTCGTAGGCCCGCTTCAATCGCCAAACATTTCACGAGAATAATCTTAAACCTTGAATGAAGTAAAGGAAATGTTAGAGGTCTGAATCTTTTAAGTACCGACTTGCCGCTTTACTTCAATTCGGAACGGCTTTTTAAAACGGCTTTGGTTCGGTTCTAGGAACGGATATGAATCAACTGATTAAATACAACATCTGAATCCAATCGCGTGTTATTCTAAATTTAAGTTCAATCCAAGGCTGTCAAACTTTTTACATGAAAATAATCTTTGTGCTGAATGCAGAATTAGAATAGATTAACTAGAGCACTTGTGATTAAAATCTTGCTTCTAACTTTTTTTAAGTCACGGTATTGGTTTTTCATATGATTGAAATTGATGCAACAATTCTAAAAGGACAAATGTAATGTAATCTTTATTTAAACACGATCAATTCATCAGCCCATAAAAATACATATCACATACGCTAAGATATTTAAAATTCAAACTACATACTATAACATTAAAGCTGTTTTCCGTGAATGCCGTGCGTTAGACTTAAAGAATGTCATCGATATTACCTTTAAATACCCCCAGAGACTCTGTTTTCCTTATATCGCGTGGTAGACTATTCCATAATGTGGCGCCGCTTGTAGCTAAAGCTTTTTCTGTAATAATTAGTGCGCGATAATGGAACATTCAGCTTATTTTCAGAGTCCCTAAGGTCATAGGCGGAGTCACGCCACGTAAACTTTGAATACAGATACCCTGGAGCAAGCCCGTGCAGACATCTAAACATCATGGTGGCTTTATGGATTTTCTACTGGCGTGCAAGATTTTTCCACCCTGAAAACTCGAGTAGCTCAGTTGCATCAGCATCATAGTTAGAGAATGTCAACACACGGGCTGCTCTATTCTGCAATTTCTGCAGTTTGTCTCGTAGCGTTTTCCCACAGCTACCCCAAACAATGTCACAGTAATCAAAGTGAGGTTTTACTAAAGCTTGGTAGATGAGATGTAAGGTTGATGCTGGGATCAGGTGCCTAATTCGCTTTAGGGCCCCGATACCAGAGGCGATCTTTTTCGTTAGTTTTTCGATGTGACTATGCCAATCGAGTTTATCGTCTATTATTACACCAAGCGATTTTGTAGCTG